AAGCACAATACCCTCTCCCACAGTCTAATCTTTTGGGATTACAGCCAATTGTTAAAGAATTATTTAAAAAAGGATTTCTAAAACCAACTAATTCCCCCTACAATACCCCCATCCTGGCAGTCAAAAAACCCAATGGGGCCTACCCGCTTAGTTCAAGACCTTCGGCTTATTAATGCAGTTCATCCAGTAGTCCCCAGTCCTTAAACTGTAAAAACCTACAGGATTTACCTCCTTGCAGGATTCTTTCGCTTCAAACCTCACCCCTCCATGATCCCTCATTAACCTTCCAGTTGTGCCCGGTCCTTAATCCTTCCACCCTACTCCCTGTGCCAGACCAGGAACCGATTCACAATTGCTTAGAATCCTTATAAATTTTCTTGCCACATGACTTGCACATCCAGGAAGGACCTTTTTCCTCCCCCGACCTAGTTTGGTATACTGATGGTAGTTCTTTCTCCCAAGATAAAATCAAGCAGGCAGGCTATGCCATTGTATCTGAAAGTGAAGTCATTGACCAGGGCTCCCTCCCTCCTCAAACAATTAATCAACAAGCAGAGCTAATCGCCCTCACACGGGCCTTTACCTTAGCTTCGGAAAAAAGACTCACAGTTCATACAGATTCCAAATATGCCTTCCATATTCTGCTTTCACATGCAGCCATTTGGAGGGAAAGAGGTTTTTTTTTCCACCAAAGGTAATTCTATCCAGAATTCTAAGTTTATTATGGAACTACTAAAGGCTTCCAAGCTGCCCGCAGCCATTGGCATTGTCCACTGTAAAGCCCACCAGTCAGACCAGTCACCTACAACCAAGGGAAATAATTTGGCTGATCGCATAGAAAAGAAAGCAGCCTTAACACTGACTGTACTCCCTAGTGCCTCAGTAAATCAAGGAGCAGAAACTCAGAAGTTGAGCTTGACCCAGGATCAACTTAAGTACCTTCACAAAATTTTCCACTCCAACTCTAGAACATTATTTACCTTTTTATAACCATTAGTCACTCTCTCCCTGTCTGACAAGCAATTTTTACAACATCTTTCCTCCACCTGCGAAATTTGCCAAAAGACAAATCCATCTTCTAAACCCACCCCTTTCCCTACACACCAAGCCAGGGGTCTGCTCCCTGGCCTGGATTGGCAAATAGACTTCACCCACATGCCCAAAGTTAGTTGACACCTTTTCTGGATGGGTTGAAGCTTTTCCTGCTAGTTGGTTCCATAATCCTCTATTAAATTCCCTGCTTTCCTTTCTAACCCCACTATTAGTTACTTTACTGGCAGTTGCCACTTGTGTTCTTCGTTTTGTTTGATCGCAGGTTCTGAAGACATAGAACTGTGGGCTTAAGCCCAGTCCAGCTGCTGACCTGGTTCCATTGCTTCTTGGTATCCCATTGAAGAGTCCAATGGCTACTGACAACACCACCAACTGCGACAAAACCATTGCCGACCGTGGTCCAAGCCCAAAGACAGCCTCGTTGCTCCAATGCCAGCAGGAAGTAGCTACAGAAAAATTACCTTCGTCCCTTCTCCAGTGGGCATGGATCATAGAGACGACCATTCATTTTTCTTATTTAACCAAAGAGGGGGAAATGTTACAATATCTTCCATTTCTTCCCTCTCCCCTCCCTCCAACTCCATTTTGTCTGTTTCCCTGCCCTAAGCTACAAGGTGTGTAGTTTAAAGGACAGCATGGCTTTTGATAGGCCAGAGCTAAATCACCCCAGCAATGACCACTCCCTTCCTGTCGAACCTATATAAATCCCCTCCCTTCCCGTTGACTCTCTCTTTACCTTCTTTCTCTCCTCCCTTCTGCCTCCTGCCCTCTCTCTCTGGCAGAGGTTATCTTCCTCACCCTGAATAAAAGTCTCTAGATGGGCCATTTGGAATGAGGGGTGGTTGATGAGCGGCACCGGGGTTGTTTTTCCCCTTTCAGATATGGTCTTCTGTTTCTGTTTTTTGGGCATATTCAGGAGTTATCTGTGGCCTTAATACTTAGATGGGTGTGTATTTATGCATTCTGATTGCTTTCAGGTAGATGTGATCAGGAGATGGGCTTCCCTTTTCACTCTTCTTCCTGAGAAATTTCAAGATGCTAGTGTTTGTGACATAACTCAGGATTTAATTTTCCTTTTTAGTCTGCCTGTCTGGCACCACAATCCCTGTTCAGGCCTTTTTCCTGGTGATAAGCAGTTCAGGGCCGGCTGTGGCTGTTTTGCATTGCTGTTTGGTTTTAAACAGAAACTGTCACTTTAAATTTTGAGGAGATCTGTGTGCATTTGTAGTAGAACCCTCCAGGGGTGGGGGTGAGGGTGGGGCTTCCACTCGCTCAGGTATCCCCTCTAGTCACCAGAATGGAGGTACGCAGACAGTGAGAGAACAATGAACAGATACACACAAAAAAGAACATCCACATCTTTATTTCCACAGTACTGTCAGGCATCTGTGGCTTCTCTGATCCTCCCCCTGCTTGGTCTCTCCCAAGATGGTGGCTCCAGGAGCAGTTGAACATCTTGAATTAGAAAGCAATGTTTTTCTTGCTTCTGCTACAAACTCCCCTAGCTATAAGCCTTCCAACCTTCTAAATATTCCTTTATATGTGGTTCAGAGTTCTGGCACCATCCCCTAAGCCTGTTTGGTCCGATATTCTGTGTTGTTGCTGATGGAGCTCCTCAATGCACATCTACCAGATCCGCCATCTTGTTTGTTCTCTTGACTTTGCCTTCTTGAGCTGCCTTTTGCCACTGTGGTATAAGTACTCAGCCATGAGGTCAGTTTGAACCACAAGGTTGGTAGTTCAAACTCACCAGCTGCTCCCCAGAAACCTTATACTAGGTCACTGTGAGTTGGAACTGACTGGATGGCACTTAACAACAAAATTTACTAAAATTCATTGAACTGTCTACGTAAAGTGGCTAATAGATTATATAATGGCCTCAAATATAATGATGCAGGGTTAGCACATGTTTCATTCTTTGTCACTATGAGTCAGAACTGACTTGACCTCAGTGTGGTACTGTAGGATAAGCACTGGATTGTAACTGCAAGGTCAGCAGTTCAAATTCACCTGTCACTCTTCAGAAACCCTATACAGGGTCACTATGAGTCAGAACCAACTTGATGGCACTTAATTGCAACAACAAACAATAACAATGTATTATATATCAAAAAAGCTGTTTTAACATGTGTCTGTTTCTGAGGGTTGGGTGTTGTTGTTGTTGTTAAGTGCTAATGAGTTGTGAATATAGACTCTTCAAGTATTACCATAGTTATTTAGTCAGAATATGTTTAGGCTTGGCATGTCCTCTTTCCAAAGGAAATAAAGGTGCAGACTTCAGGGGAGGGATTGCTTGAATTAAAATCCCCAAGGTCCCACTTTCTAGCCAGGTGACTGAACCAATTGGTTAACTCCCATTATCTGTTTTTTCTTTCAACTTTTGATTGTGAATTGAGTGAAGGTTTACAGAGCCTATTATCAGTTTTACATTCAACGCCATTTCCTGCTACCTTTATCTTTCTTCTAACCGGCCTCTTGTTGTATACTGCCTGCCCCGTCACCCGTGTTAACATGTGTCTACCCTCTAGACCATAAATAATCCCTTTCCTAACCATCACAAATTATTTCTTTTATCAAGAAAACTATTTAAAGAAATCCCAGACTTTTTGCACCATTGGTCTCATGCAATAGTTGTCCTTTTGTAACTGACTAATTCCACTCAGCATCACGTCCTCCAGGTTCAACCATATTGTGAGGTGTTTCACAGATTATCATTACTCTTCAACGTTTTGTAGCACCCATTATCTTTTAATTCCATTTTTTCACGAACTTTTTGAAGTCCTGTCATGTAGGGACTTTATTATAGTAAGCATGTAATAAATACTAATGGAGCTCTGGTAGCATAGTGGTTACAAATCGGGCTGCTAACCCCGCAAGGTCAGCAGAACTACCAGCTGTTCAGTGGGAGAAAGATGAGGCCTTCAGCTCCCGTAAAGATTTACAGCCTCGGAAACACTGGACAGGGTCGCTAAATCGGAACCGACTCCACGGCACATCACAACAAAAACAACAATGTTTGTAAACGTTGTATGAAGAGGAGATACCTGTGATATCCGCACATACTCAGTGTTCTCAGCTTGGGAATTTCTCCTATGTACAGCCATCAATCAAAGCACTCGGAGCTCGGGCAGTCACCATAGTAACGACCACCTACTTCCGGAAGAACTACAGCGCGCGGCGAGGGTCAGTTACAGCCGTCTCCCTGAACGCGTCTAGGAAGGGGCCGGCAGAAGGAAGAGAGCAAGCAGTGTTGATCCGGGCCTATTGCCTGGAGGCCACCCCCAGTGTTTTCGCTGGGTGGTCTGCTCCCGCGTCCTCTTTGCTTTTCTAAGGCAACGTTTACTGCCTGGATGCCAGATCTGGTGCTTGTCGCCATGGACTTCTCCAAGTTCCTAGCTGACGACTTTGACGTGAAGGAGTGGATCAATGCAGCCTTCAGAGCTGGCCCCAAGGAGGCGGCGGCCGGGAAGGCGGACGGCCACGCGGCTACCCTGGTGATGAAACTTCAGCTGTTCATCCAGGAAGTGAACCATGCAGTGGAGGGTGAGCCGCGCGGGGGCTGGCCCCGGGGACCCTTGCTCCCGGGGGCACTTCCCAGGGCTTCATCTGATGAGAAAGCAAGCCCTCGTCCTTCCTCTTTTGGTGACTCACCTCCGGCAGAGCTTTAAAGTTTACTATCGAAACGTTTGGCAAAAACATACTTCCATCCTGGAATATGCTTCTGGTGAAGAGAGAGGCAACCTCTGGAAGAGACAGTTTTAAAGTGGAATCAGGAGTGGATTGCAGGGAGGGAAAAAGAGCTACACAGGGAGTTAGCCAGGGCCGGAAGGGTGACTGAGCGGCGGGAGACTTAAAAGTCAGGGCATTCCAGTCAGAACCTTACCTGGGGTGGGAGGGGTATCAGGGTTGGAAACAGGTTCTTTATGAACAAGGTCCTAACGTTCATCTTGCAGATATTGTTGTTGTTAAGTGCCGTCGAATCTATTGCGACCCGTAGCGACCCTGTTATAGGGTTTCCAAGGAGCAGCTGGTGAGCTTGAACCACCGACCTTGCAGTTAAAACGATTTTGCAATCTGACGCATTAGCCCATAGCGCCACACCAGAACTTAGGGTTCTTTTTTATTGCACCTGTGTAGCAAAAGATTCTGGTCTTCTTGGGCTGGATTCCCGTAAAAAGTTAAAGGGTTATGATGTTACCCTTCCAGTTCCAAGGAAGACACCATGGTCTGCAAAGATTTAAAATTTTGAGTGTACACTTGAGATGTCTATTTGAAAATGCAGATTTCTTGATTTCATACCAAATCCAAACTGTCTGCCATCAGTTCTGACTTGGGATGACCCTATAGAACAGGGTCCTGGGGTAGCGCTGTGGGTTAATGCCCTGGATGGGACTGCACAGTCGGTTTGAATCACTAGGTCGGCAGTTCAAACTCAATAGCCGTTCCGAAGAACCCTACCGACTCGACAGCACCTAACAACAACAACAACAACATACAACAAAGTAGAATTGCCCGTAGGTTTTCAAAGGTAGAAGTAGGCTGTCGTATCTTTCTCCCAAAGAGTAGCTGGTGGATTTGAAATTTTGGTTAGCAGCCAAATGCTTAGCCACTGCACCATTACATTCTCCTGCAGGTGGCCTTTTTGTTGTTAAGTGCTGTAGACCCATAACAACCCTTTGCATGCTTTCCGAGGGGCGGCTGATGGGTTTGAACTGCCGAACTTGTGATTCAAACTGACTTGTGGTCCAGCACGTTATCCTGCAGCAAGCACCACACCAGAACTCCATGGCAGGTGGCCTAGGTACCTGCATTTTAACTGCACTCCAGATGATGCTAGTACATTTTTGCAGTGTGTAGCAGGCTCTGGGGGCAGACAGAGGTAAGGCTCTGAAATCTTGGGCAAGTTACTTAACCTCTGAGCCTCAATTTTCTAATCTGTAAGAGATGACCACTAATATCACCTAGGATTGCCATGGATATTAGGCCGTAGGATGTATGTAAGGCACCTGGTGGGAAGCAGGCTTCCAGATTCCTCCCAGTGAGATGATTAAGGTCTTCTGTAATGATGGGCAATAGTTAATGTCCATTCCCTGGACGTTAATGTCCAAATCGCCCAGCCTTCACCCATTGTTCTGTGGAGGACATAGTCTGCTGGAGACCACCTCACTGCCAGCTTCTCCTCCAACCCTCTACTTCCCTCAGGCTCTGAAAACTGGGGTTGGTAATGCTTTAGGGGAGATTTTCTTTTTGTCATTTCATTTGCTTCCTATTGTTCACTGGTGATGGGCATCATTTTCACCTTTTGTGCATGTGGCTGATTTGGTTCTTGTTACAGAAACCAGTCACCAAGCTCTTCAGAACATGCCCAAAGTTCTCCGTGATGTCGAAGCCCTTAAGCAAGAAGCATCTTTTCTGAAAGACCAAATGATTCTCATCAAGGAGGACATTAAAAAATTTGAACAGGATACAGCTCAATCGATGCAGGTATTTTGGCTCCTGTCCTAAATGTTGTGTTTTGGTTTTGGAAGCTGTCCGCTCATTGGTGGTTTAGAAGAGTACACCTCTGTGAGAGGTCAACCATAACTCAAACTTCTACCAAGCACTCAAACTACTAGTTTGCTTGATTTTTTTCAGTTTATTCATCTCTTTCTGGCAACATCTCTGTGCTTTGTTTTAGTACAGTAGATTGCTGGATTTATAATGTTTAAATTGGATTTTTAATCTTAGTGTCCTTAGAAAGGACTTTTTTCCTTAAAAAAGGAAAACTTTACATTTTGTGTACTGAAGTTGTGCTGTCTTTCAAATCCTTAGCTTTTTTAATTTTATACTTCTATATGTTCACTAATTTCATATTTCATGGGTTTGTTTGCTTTCTTAATCTTAACCTTTTCTTTTGTTTGTTCCTGTCAAATTGTTTTAAATCTTAATTTTTGTTGTTGTTGTTAATTGTTTTAAATCTTTGAGCTTTCATTGTTTGGTCAAAAAATCTGGGGGAGTCTTTTTTATCTTGTTTTCACTCACTTTTAAAAATAGTTTGGTTTTAAAACAATTTTTCATAGCTCATTTACGACTATGTTAATGTCTCATTTTGAATTTCTTATTGTGTACCCGCTTCTATAGCCATCTGCTTTTCCTAGATTATTTTATTTTTCTGTTCTTATGCATCCTGTTTTCTATGATCCTGTGATTTGGTGGTCTGTCCTGTGATTTGGTGGTCTGTCCTGTGATTTGGTTTTGCTAATGCTTGGGAAGAAGCTTGTCAGAGATGGTGAGAGGCTGAAGGCGTCTTCCTTACCTGAAGGCATCTTCCTCACCTGAAGGCGTCTTCCTCACCTGTCCTTGCGTCTCTCCTCCTAGCTCTGCTACAGTGACTTCTTGAGCAACAAGAAACTTCTCCATTTAATGGATCCAAACCACTCTAGGATTTGGCCATATTGAATATTTAACACCAGCCACTTAACCAAAGGGAAAAGAGGTGTATTTAGAGGGGATGTAATATGCCCTGGTGTGATGCTGTGGGTTAATGCGCCAGACTGCAAAGCTGTTTGAACTGCAAGGTTGGCAATTCAAGCTCACCGGCTGCTCCTTGGAAACCCTATATAGGGTTGCTATGGGTCGGAACCGACTCAATGGCACTTAACAAAAACAACAACAACAATATGCTTGAAATGAAACCATCTCAACTTTTGCTCTCTGAATCTCTTTGCGTTGAGAACTTCTCATCTCAGAATGTGTATGAACAGAGCTGGCCTTAGATATGACTTTTTTTCACAGGGTCAACAGTTCTCAAAAATGAACTGAGCAATCTGTAATAAAGAAGTGATTAATGTGCAGTATTTCAGACAAGGGTTTTGTCTTGTTTGTTGTTGTTAGGTGCCATCGAGTTGGTACTTACTCATAGTGACCCTGTGCAACAGAGCGAAACACTGCCTGATCCTGGGCCAACCTCACAATTGTTGCTACGTCTGAGCCCATTGATGCTGCCATTGTACCAATCCATCTCCTTGGGGGCTGTCCTCTTTTTCTCTGACCCTCCACTTTATCAAACATGATATCCTTCTCCAGTGACTGGCCCCTCCTGGCAATATATTTGAAGTATGAGAGACAAAGTTTGGCCATCTTGGATTCCAAGGAGCACTCTGGCTGTACTTCTTCCAACATTGATCTATTTGTTCTTTTGGCAGTCCATGGCACTTTCGATACTCTCCTCCAACACCATAACTCAAACGCATCAGTTCTTCTCTGGTCTTCCTTATTCACTGTCCAATTTTCACATGCATTTGAGGTTATTGAAAATACCATGGCTTGGGTCAGGCACACCTTAGTCCTCAAACTGACATCATTGGTCTTCAACACTTTAAAGAGGCCTTGTGCAGCACATTTGCCCAGTGCAGTATGTCGTTTGATTCCTGACTGCTACTTCCATGAGTGTTGATGGTTGATCCAAGTAAAATGAAGTCATTGACAACTTCAATCTTTTTCCATTTATATGGATGTTATTTATTGGTCCAGTTGTTGTTTTTAGGTGCCATCGAGTTGGTACTGACCCATAGTGGACCTTATGCCCAGCAGAACGAAACACTGCCCTATCCTGGGCCAACCTCACTATTGTTGCCATGCTTGAGTCCATCAATGCTGCCACTTGGCCAGTCCATCTTGTTGGGGGTCTTCCTCTTTTTCTCTGACCCTCCACCTTACCAAACATGATATCCTTCTCTAGCGACTGCTCCCTCCCGACAATATGTCCGAAGTATGAGAGACGAAGTTTGGCCATCTTGGCCTCTAAGGAGCACTCTGGCTGCATTTCTTCCAAAACGGGTCTATTGTAGAGAGTCCTAAAAGTCACCAACTTAGTAGGAAAAACACAGCTTTATTGCAGGAAAGAGAGGGTCACCGGTCAGTTCTAGTATATTCTATTGAAATATTAGTTGAACATCTGCTGGTGCTCTTCTGTGATTGGTGGTGTAGAGGGCACAGACACACGCTGAAGACAGGAGCATGCTGAGATGAGCCGGTTACTGGTGGAAGGTAGAGCAAAAGGCATACCTGCATCTTTAGTGCTTTCCTCCTTTCTCTTTCAGGTATTGGTGGAAATCGACCAGGTGAAGTCCAGAATGCAGCTTGCTGCAGAATCTCTTCAAGAAGCAGACAAGTGGAGCACACTGAGTGCTGATATTGAGGAGACATTTAAGACTCAGGTAGGTTTCTTGATTGAGGATTGTGGAATCTATGTAAGCAGGGGTTTGGAAAAAGCAAATGAGCTAGTCATTCATTCAAAACCATAGAAGATAATGTAAGTAGTGGCATACAGAATCATTCTTGCTTAGAACAGGGGCGATCTTAAACTGCTGTGAGTATCATCACCCTCTTGGGTTTCTAACCCTGTCCACAGCTGAAGCCTGTTTATCTCAGTGTACAGCCAGAGAAAATGGAATAAATGAAAACTTGGTCAGAGGGGCCTTACACACTGGGTGTTGCTGGCAAGCTATTTAACCCCTCTGGGTCTGCAAAGTGTAGAAACTAGTAATGGTTTTTGTTTCATTTTGTTTGTGGTAAAAAGATATAAAAAAACTTTATCATTTTAACATGTAAGTGTACAATTGATTGACATCAGTCATATTCATTATGTTGTACAACCATTATCCATTTCCAAATGTTTCCATAACCCTTAATAAACTGTATACTCTAAGCAATGACTCTCCCTCTTCACTTCCTTTTTTCTCTGAGTCAAACACTAATGGAACTTTGGTCTCTGTATTTGCCATGTCTAGATACTTTATATAAGTGAGATCATATAATAGTTGGCCTTTTGTGTCTAACTTATTTCAATCAAAATGTTTTCAAGGTTTACCCACCTTGTAGCATTGTTAGAATTTCACTCCTCTGATGTTAGAGTAATAGTAATATTTCATTGTATGGATATACCACATTTTTTATAGCCATTCATTTGTTGATGACACTTGGATTATTTCTGTAATATAGTGGTGGTGGTGTGCCATGAAGTCAGTTCTGACTTATTAATGACCCTTTATAGGGTTTCGAAACTACCAGCTGCTCCGCGGGAGAAAGATGAGGCGATCTGCTCCCGTAAAGATTTACAGCCTCGGAAACCCTATTCAGGGTCGCTATGGGTCGAAACTGACTCGACAGCACTTAACAACAACAACAATAGGGTTTCTGAGGCTGTAAATCTTTATGGGAGCAGAAAGTCTCTCATCTTTCTCCCATGGAATGCCAGGTAGTTTCGAACTGCTGACCTTGAGGTTAGTAGCCTGACTCATAACCACTATGCTACCAGAGCTCCTTGTATATCTAGTTGCAAAGACAAGTGAGGTGATGTCATATGAAAAGCCTTTTCTCAATTATAAAGCAAAATTAGTTCTCTCTCTTTTTAAAGTTTTGAATAAAAAGTGAAGTATAGCCTTTATAAGTTATATCAATACATCTGGGAGACAAAGTTCAGTAAACAAGAATAAAGAGTGAAAAGTCATTTTTTTTTACTTGCTAATTTGCTAACCTGGCCACACCTGTGGCCACCAGAGGAGCATGGGGAACAAGAAAGGATTGCACCTTGTCCATTGGCTGCCACCATTGTGCCTCTACTGCCAGGCCATTGTCTGCCTCTGAAACTGCTCCCAAATGCTCAAGGTGTCCTCACCACCAAATAATAGCTACCAGCAGAAGCTGTCATTATGTTCCTAAAATTTTACCTACCAGCAAGAAAACGACACTTTCCTGTTTCAATTTGGGTTTATTTGAGTATTAATACCGCTGAGCATACTATATTTAGGGATCATTTTCTTCTTTTGTGAATTTCCTTTTCATTTAAGGTAGCAGGGTATTTAAAATCAGTGTTCTGTATTTTGGCTTTTTGTAGGACATAGCTGTGATTTCTGCCAAGCTAACAGAGATGCAGATCAGTTTAATGATGCTTGTTGACACTCCAGACTACTCAGAGAAATGTGTGCACTTGGAGGCATTGAAGAACAGGCTGGAGGCTATATGCAGCCCCCAGATCGTAGCAGCATTCAACTCTCAGGCTGTCGGTGAGTACGACTGTTTTCCCATCTCTGTAACCTCTTTACAGAAATAAGGCATTGTGACTATGGCACTTTCAGAAAGTCTTCATGTTGATATATTCTCCAGCTTGGAAGTCAGTAACTTTTGGATAGTTACACTTTTAAGAACTGTTTATTATGAAACTTTTCAAGCGTACAGAAAAGTTGAAATAAATGGTCACATCTAGATTCCATCACTAACATGTGCCATTTTACTGTCTCACATCTGTCTACCTTCCTATCCCTTTGTCATCTCATCAGTCCAACTTAATTAGTTTAACTAATCTTGGCCATAGTGAAACATACACATCAAAGCATTTGCTGATTTGACCATTACTACGGGCTGCCAACCTCAAGGTCAGCAGTTCAAAACTACCAGCGGTTCCGCAGGAAAAAGATGAGGCGTTCTACTCACGTGAAGATTTACAGCCTAGGAGACCCTGTACAGGGTCGCTATGAGTTGGAACTGACTCCATGGTACTTAACAACAACAACAACATGTAAACTTCAGTGACGTTGATTATCTTCTTCATGTTGTGAGACCATTCCCGCTATCTTTTTCTACTTTATTCCACCATCATTAATGTACACAGTGTCCCTAAGGAAAATCTCTCCCTTCTTCCTCCCTCAAATGCCTGGTAACCACTAAAATAAAATTGTTTTCTGTATATTGTATATCTCATATAAGTAATATCAGATAGTAGTTGTCCTTTTGTGACTGATTTATTTCCCTCGATACAGTGTTTTCAAGGTTAGCCCATACTGTGGCATGAATCAGGACTTTGTTTCTCCTTATGACTTTGTAATATCCCATTATGTGTATGAGGGGACTTCAACAACAAGTTTATGGAAAAATGGAATTGAAAAATAATGGAATTTTTCCATGAGCTTTTTGAAGCCTCCTCATGTGGGCTCTGTGGGTTAATGAACTGGACTGCAAATTCAGTTTGGACCGCAAGCTCAGTGGTTCAAGCTCATCAGCCATTCCTCGGAAACCCTGTACAGGGTCGCTGTGGGTCAGTGGCACTTAACAACAACAACAACAACATGTATTATATCTTGTTTATCTGTTGGTTGACATTTAGATTGTTTCTATCTTTTAACTAATGAGAAACGTGCTGCACTGAACATTGGTGTGCGGGGGTCTGCTTGTTTTTTTGGCCTTTACTTCTTCTGGGCATCTACCTAGGAATTGGGATTGCTAGGTCACATGGAAGTCTTTGTTCAGTTTTTTGAGGAACTGTGAAAATATTTCCCCTATCTTAATTTTTGGATGTAATTAAAAATATATCAGTACATTTCACTCGGATTTTAATATTTATTTTGGGATGGGTCAATGTGCTGAGACTAGACTTTAATATTATTTTGTAAGTCTATAGTTTGTTGTTAGGTGCCATCAAGTTGGTTCTGACTCTTAGTGACGCTGTACACAACAGACCAGAACACTCCTCCTGTCCTGCACAGTTCTCACGATTCTCCCCATGTTTGAGCCTATGGGGGCACCACTGTGTCAGTGCATCTCATTGAGGGGTTTCTTCTTTTTCACTGACCATGTACCTCATCAAGCATGGTGTCCTTCTCTGCAGATGGATCCTGCCTGATAACATGGCTAAAGTTAGATAAACATGTTATCTAAAGTTTAGATAAACATGTCTAAACATAAACATGTTGAGATGAAGTCTCCCCATTCTTGCTTCTAAGGAGCATCCTGGCTGACCTTCTCAGTCAGATTTGTTTGTTCTTCTGGCATGATCTATTCAATCTCTTCACCAGTATCATCCAGGGGAGCGTCAAAAAGTTCATGGAAATACAGAATTTAAAATCGTGGAAGATTTTCTTGAACTTTTTGAAGGTCACTCACTCATGATTCAAAGATCTTCAGGCTCCCTTGTTTGTTGTCTCTTTCACGCATATGAGGCGATTAAAAATACCGTGACTGGAGTTAGGCGCCTCTTAGCACCCAAAGTGACATCTTTGCGCTTTAACACTTTAAAGACATCTTTGCAGCAGATTTGCCCAGTCTAATATGTTGTTCGATTTCTTAACTGCTGCTTCCATGGCATTGATTGTGGAGCCGAGTACCATGAAATCCTTGACCAGTTCGTTCATTCTCTTCTCCATCTATCGTTCTGTTGCATATTGATCCAGTTGTAAGGATTTTTTTTTCTTTGTGTTGAAGTATAATCCAGACAGAAGGCTGAACTCTTTGATTGTCTTCAGTAAGTACTTAAAGTCTTCTTCGCTTCAGGTAAGCAAGGTTTGGCTTCTGCACATCACAGGTCATTAATGAATCTTCTTCCAATCCTAATGCTGTGTTGTTCTTAGAGTCCAGTTTCTCGGATTACTTGCTCAGCATAAAAATTGGATCAATATGGTGAAAATGTACAACCCTATTGCATAACTTTCCTGATTTTAAACCATTTAGTGTCCCTTTGTTCTGTTCGGATGATTGCCTCTTGGTATGAACAGGTTCTGCATGAACACATTGGAGTGTTCTGGGATTCCTATTCTTTGTAGTGTTGTCAACGGTTTGTTATGATCCACACATTCAAATGCCTTTGCATAGTCGATGAAACACAAGTAAGTTTCTTCCTGGTGTTCTCTGATTTCAGCCAACATAACCTCATGTCAGTAACAGTGTGTTTCATTCCCTGTCATCTTCTGAATCTGGCTTGTATTTCTGGCACTCCTACTGATGTACTGCTGCAACTGTTTTTTATTTATATTCAACAAAAATATTACTTGTATGCAATATTAATGATATTGTTTGATAGTTCCATGTTCTGTTTGGTCACATTTCTATGAACAATATAGATCTCTTCTAGTTAATTGGCCAAGTAGCTGTCTTCCAAATGTCCTGGACTAGATGTCTATTGATTGTTGTCAAGTTCAGTCGAGTCGGTTCTGACTCAGAGACTCTTTACATGGTTTCCGAAGAGCAGCTGGTAGTTTGGACTGCTGATCTTGTGGTTCAAAGTCCAGTGCTGGTCCTACAACATCACACCAGGAATAGATGAGTAAGTGCCTCCAATGCTGCATCAGTTTGCTCAGACATTTCAATTGGTGATTCTTCAGTTCCTGTTGTTAAGTGCCGTTGAATCAATTCTGACCCATAGTGACCCTGTGTAGGGTTTCCAAGTAGCAGGTGGTGAGCTTGAACCACTGACCTTGCAGTTCAAATGACATTGTTTTCTGACACATTAGCCCACAGTGTCACCCCAGGACTCCTGGAGCCTTGTTTTTTCGCCAAGTGCAGCTTAGACTTCTTCCTTCAATGATATACCACCTCCTGATATGGTTGAGGTTGGCCTGTTCTTTTTGGTTCTGTGATTTTGTATTCCCGCCATCTTGTTTTGGTGCATAATATATAGTTCAGTATTGGCCCATAGAGTCCTTTAGTATTGCAACCCAAGGATTGCATTTTTTTTCTTCAGTTCTTTCAGCTTGAGAAATGCTGAGCATGTTCTTCCCTTTGGGCTGTCTAACTCCACTTTGCACATTTCAGTATAAAACTTGGTCTTCTCAAACTGTCCTTTGGTTTTTCCATTCAACTCTTTTACTTTATCATTTCTTCTAGTTGCTTTTGTTTTTCTATGATCAAGAGCAAGTTTCAGTGTTTCTTCTGCCATCCGATTTGGTGTCTGATTTCTCTCCTGTCTTTTTATTTTTTTACAATTATATATTTACATTTTAATTCATATGATCAAAGCCAAAGAGGTTAAGCACAATTTAAAGTGTAACCACCAGTTTCTCTTCATTATTTCATCACATTTAAACAGCTTTATGCATACCAATTCACTGCAAGCAGTGACCTAGAAAAACTTGTTGAGACAAAAATAGTAATAGATATCCTTTCTGGGATAATAAGATAATAGGGTTTCCATGGCAATAATTTTTTTCAGGAGTAGAAAGCCTCATCTTTCTCCTGCAGAGTGGCTGGCAGCTTCAAACTGCTGACTTTGTGGTTAGCCAC